GCCACGCCTTCCGACCGCACTCATTTTTTTTGTGATTCCCATCTGTCCCTGGGCTCCCTGAGGCTACCCCTTCTTGTGAGAAACCCTTGAGTGACAAGGGTACACAGGCATGCGCAGTTGCCAGGAACCAGCCCTACTCATCAAGCCTTGCGCCGTTTTATCGCGTATTGATTGCAGGCATTTCCCTTCTCTGAGTATGTATCTCAAGCTCAGGGGAACATTGGCTCCCAAGAGCCGTTTCAACGAGTTAACCACAGGAGTAGTGCTCCCTGCAGCACCCGAGAAAAGCTGTCAGCATGAGGGGCAACATTACAATGCGTTGCGACGCGCACTCATGAATGCAGAAAACCTCCTAAAGCGCTCTGAAGTGCGGCCTTTGCAGAAGACGTCGTGGACTAAAGCCGGGTCCACTAGGCCGCCAAGCTGCGGTATAGGGCACCATCCAAAGTTGCGGCGCTGCAGCTTCACATGCCTAGTTAGTTTCCAGGTGCCTCTTACACAGAGGTATGCATAAGGCCATACATATGTACCTGTTCATGTAATGTCATGCACACTATACTTTCCATACCGCGTAGCGAAGATGTTTGCCATTCTTATAGCTCTTGTATGCAGCCGTTTTCGTCCAGCAGTCAGCTCTTTTCGCTCGCGTCCTGTCCCAAGCATCGTCGCCATGGCACCGACCACCGCCACGTTGCTGAACCAGCTACCAGTTGCCTGGCTGATGCTGGGGTGTAGAGCAGTTCTGGGTCTAAAGTGTAGGGCTTAAGGTTTTGGATTTTACGCTCCAGACTCTAGCATGGGTGTAGAAAAATTCAGGACACAATACTTAGGTGTGGATTGCAGCCACACTGGCGACATGGTTGGTGTGCTGGCTCGTCGTCAGTCCGGTAAGCTGCCACGAGGCGCATGATGGTGCATGTTGTCTTTTGCAGCCATGAGGGCTTGTTGTTGATGTAGGCTTTGTAGCATTTAGGCCAGAATGAAAATCATCATAAAACTACAATAATTAGCTTTGCACCTGATTTTCGGCATACAGGTAGACGAGCTCTGGATACCCCACATGGGGCTGAAAGTATGTAGCCCCTTTTCATGCTTTTGAGTCTGTAAAGTACGAGGAGGACTGCTGTGACCGTTTTTTTTGTGGAACTTGCATTCAGCGAATACATTGCCATATTCAGCATGCGCCCAATCCTTGTCTCCGTCGTGTGAAGCAACATGGCTTGGGTTCTGTCACCTTCAGAGGCTTTGTAATTGTAAGATGTGTCAATCGTCCTGACAGGCCCATGGTGTAAGGCATCGTTTTTTCCAGGAGACGTTTCAAGGATCATTGGAATCCTAACTTCAATTATTTTATCCAGCGGAATCAATCCGCGCAATCAGGGTCCCAGCGATTTCCTGTCCGGAAAGCCTCGCAAGTGTAAGGACATGGACCCCGAACCCCAAAATCTCATGCCTGAAGGCCCAGCTTTGCAGCAAGACACTTGACAAAGCCACTCATAGACTCTTCAGGAAACGAGGGTGGATTCAGGGGGTTGTAGGGTTTCAGAAGTCTGAATTACAAGAGCAGATGCCTCCAGGAAGTCGCCTAGCAGCTTTCAAATCTAGCGACACACTCCATCTTCACCATCTCACATCCGATAGGTGACGGACATATTGCTTCCAGTCTTTACTATCAAGGTCCTTCAAGTTTGAGTTTCCCTACGCCAAGTACTTAAGTCCCACGGCCCCGTTCTCCTTCGAGATCCCTGCCTGATACCTCAAGCCTCATTTTTGGAGCTCGGCCCTGCCAGGTGCCAGCATGCAGCCGCCACCTGAAGACCTACCCAGGCACTTTGCCACTTGCGGTCTGGGGGTCTCTTATTTCTCCACACAAAGGCAGGAAAAGCGTACCCACGGGTTGAAATCAGCGCAAAGCCTAGAGACCCCCCAAAAAGCCCCCAATGCTAAGCGGTTCAGAAGGAAAAGCATTGAAAACCGTAAGTAAGCCTAAAGCAGAAAGTGTATTGGAAGGTTGCTTGGTGGTGCTGCGCTCGCCTTGTGTGGGCCTCGTATAGTCCAGTTATAAGTATTTTGGCAATCGAGTTCATGTTGTCGCTTTTCCTAATGCACATAGCTGGCTATCCTAAGAGCGCGCTATAGCCCTCTTGGGAGCTGTGCGTATGGCCAGCCCAACTTGAGCCTAGGGCCTAGGGCCTAGGAGGTCGGCCTGGCAAAGAGTGCTCCTTGCAGGAGGTAGGGCACGCAGCGGCTGGCAGGACTCCTTGCCAGCGGCAGCCTTCACACTTGTGCACCCTGTTGATGGGTGAGGTGTTTACACGGGGGTCCTTTCAGTGTGGCAGCCGTGCCAGGCCTACAAGCTAGAAGCCCCAGGATAAAGCCACCTTGATTTCGCTTCTCAGCACAGGTCTTCTTGCGGAATCCCAGAAGCGTACCAGGTTTTGTTTCACCGGATCTGGCGCTGAGGATTCTCCATCCCGGGGCACCATTTTGCTGGTGGGTGTTCCCGAGAGAACATGACTCTTATCAACAGGGTTTGGACCAAACCTGCAGCAAAAAAAGAGGCATGGCCAGACTTGTTCAGACAATCTCGGCCTCAGCCCCCAAGAATGCATCCTCGACCAAAGCTAACCCCAAAAGGAAACTCACTTCTATGATTATAGCATTGTAAGGTTGATACCAGCCCAACGGCAAAGCCAATTGCGGGAATGGCACTATCTTAGCTATGATATCACTTCCTTAAGCCTTGTCAGGCTCCTGGCATGTGATCTCCTGCGCTATGCTCTTGACCATGGCACCTTGGGCAGGGAAACTGCTTTTGGTTTAGGTTTTCAAAGGTGGGTATCCTGACTGGACGAACCACAGCGATATTCATGAAGTTGATGATTGCGAATTTGCATTGAAGGGGTGAGACGTTGGAGCTTCTATCGGGATGCATGGGTGGCTATGGTCTGAGGAGTGCGCAGGTGGTTCAGTGAGTTCTAGCTTCAAGGTCTGAGGTGTAAGGCTGCGAGCCTTCGGATCTAGCTTCGGAGGCTTTAATTGGTTTGTGATTGTGTATTTCGGATATATGCGTATCAGGCTTCCAGTTTACAATTAGAAGAAATTCTGCAGGCATTTACGTTGACTCCTTGAAGGGTTTTGTCTGCTGTCCTGAGAGATGAGCGCGGCTCATCTCAAGGAGTGCGCCTTTCAAATGCCGAACGTTCCAAGCTGTTGTTGCTTTAAACCCAGGCCCTTTGAATCTTAAACCTCAATCCTGGAATCAAGCAAGAACCAGAAGCCCTCAGCCATTTTCAGGAACCCCCTAACCCTTTCAATCCTTTAAATCCCTGAAGACCGCAGCTCACTCAGTGGATAATATGTGAATAACCTATGCAACAGGCTTCAACATCCTAAAGTCTTATAAGGTTTCATAATCTTCCTGCAGGTGATGTATGAGGTGATGAGCCTCGTCGCCACCTATGCCGGCGCAAGGCAGACCCAGGCAGCCTGCCTTTGCACCGAATGTTTCTTCTGTCAACCGAAATCCAACCCTGCCCCTTTCTGGGCTCTAGAGCCTTCCACGTCCTGGGTTTGCTGGTGAGTCCGGCACTGTAGCATGTTTTGGGAGTTGCTGGGTTTAGGGTTTTCGTTTTTAGGATCTAGGAGTTCGCGATTTTCGGCAAGGGCTCGAAGAATGCGACGTGTGCCCAGGCTTTAGGGGCAGGTGTGTCAACATGATGTGCTCTGCCTTTCTTTTTATTCAGGTACACCCTGAGCCTACACCCCAAGCTGTGTGTAAGTGTATGAATTTCTGGGATGCTTGTTGAAATCGATTTCGTAGGTGCGTGGGCTTATGTTTTCCAGGTTTAGGGTTCAGAGCAGTTTGGGGTTTGCAGTTTCTGCTTTCGTGGGCGCACAAGTGGAGAGGAGTGTCTAAGGTTTTGTGGCTCAAGCGAAGCTCATAAAGAACTACAATTCCTAGCTTCTAGCTCGGTAACCGGAGGACAGAGAAACTACATGGTCTTCTGCATCATTGGTGTGAATATGCTCACTCTTATTTGGGTCAGATCTCATAACGTTCACCCGAGCCATTGCCCGAGTCCGAGAACTCAAAGCCCACTGCGTATCTTGAATATCTAATTAGCCTTGGCACACCCCACAGGCACTGACGTCTCATGCATGCATCCTTCTGAGGATTGCTTTGAGCTGCAAGCCTGCGAAGTGTCTCAAGACATTTCCCCTACTTACTGGTGGTTAGAAGTAGGCAATATTATAGCAAGGAGTATTATGCGAATATAATCCCTGTATTATATACATATATATATATATCTCCTGTATTTCCTACTAATCCCCGGCGGTAAGCCTGTAGAATCCTTCTGTTTTTGGAGACAATCCTTGCGTTATCTGCAGATGCCCCCGGGGTTGCCTCCGGTTACCAAGCTTCGCCACCGGACTTTGCAGGCGCTCATTCCGCACCTCAAGAGTAACAAGGATGCATGGAAAATGGACGTCCAAGTCTAAGGTCTGGGGGTGCGAAGGTTGAGAGTGTTGAGTATCCTGATGTGCTTTGGTTTGTTGCAGGATTTAGAGTTCATAGCTTAGATATGGAGATGGTGCCTCACCATGATGTCCCCGGACGTCCGTCAAGCAGCATAGGCTTCAAAAAGCCGAAGTCTTTCAGTTATTTGCATCACTCTCTGCCCAGAAATTATGGTTTTCACAAGAAGTGGGGCTCTTGGGACCTCTGGGATTTGTAGGGATCATAAGGGGAGAAGTTGTGTCCCTATGAGCGATTGTCTGGGATTGTCTCAACCACTCCCATATCCTGACACCCCCACACATTTGCTGCTGAATTTCCTAGATAATTAATTCATGAATTGTCAACCCATGTTCGAAGCTTACAAGGCAAGAAGTCCTGGCTTGGCAATGTGGAAAACCCCGACTGCAGGTGTCCTCACGCCATTGGCAGTGCCAAGATCTGAGACACCTATCCTCCCAAAACAGCTATCGAACCGAGAAAGGCGGCCCGTCAAGACTACTTCTCTTTTCGTGAAAGCATGTTAAATGGTTTTCGGGTCAGTTTTTGATATGTTTGCGTGTGTAGTGCAGATTGCTGAGGCAAGTGCTTGCCAACTTTCCTCCTCGCACTCATGCTTCTTGGCTCTTCCTGGTGTACAAAGCTTGCAAGGGACAAATCAGCACGACTGTCGCTCTTCGCAGGGGACAAGGTCGACCCTCAGCCTGCTGCAAAGTATAAAGGCAGACTTCGAGATACATAACAGGTTGGAGTCATCCGGACCTTCCAGAACCTCTACTAATCCATACGCTGACTGTAGAAAATGTACCTATAGAATTCATGTGTACATCATGTTGGTAGCTTTACTTGTGAAGGGTCTACATAGGTTAATTACTCTAGGTAGAGCTTTCTGCTCTCTTAGGCCGCAAGCCATGCGCGGGCCGAAATCTCGGTTATGTAATGGATATCAGATTCATCCATGGCCACGGCAATATTGATAATGTTACAGGTCTTGTTGCAATGCCACAGTGGAAACAGCAACAGGACAATCAGACAAATTCGCCGATGGTTGTCAACGATGGCTAAATGGCTCGATCTTGTACACGGTCAGCCATGATACATCTGCAGTTTCTCCGGAGCTTCCAGAAACCCAGTTGGCGCTGCATAGCCGGTCTTCTAGGGTCTTAAAGGGATGGCCGGACAGAGGATATGCACCTGTGCTAGAGGAGCGATGCTAGGACAAAAACCGCATATACCTTGAATAGCTTGGTCTAGCCGGAGGGTGCAACCCTCGCATCAAGCTCAGCTGAGCCTCATGGTGATGTGGGCGAAGGTTGGTGAGATCCTATTTCCTGTTGGTTGCCCGTTGGCTACCATTGCTCCTTTCACTCAGCCCTATCCCTGACCCTGTACAATCCAACAGCCGCTTCGACCCAATTCAAAGACACAACATCTGTGACTTTCAAACCCAATACCGGATACCCCAGAAGGCCCATGTACATATATATAATATTCTAATTCTTTCAGCCTGTTGTTTTTCGACCTTAACGCCCTCTGCACCATGAACCCTCGTGGCCCTAAAACCTTGAAGCGTGCTGCAAGAGGTGAGGCAAAAGGAGGAATCCAAACCTCGCTGAACCTGAGGTTCGGTGTCCTGGCCTCTGCAGAGCGACTCTTCTCGCGAGCGGAGTGGACCGTCGCACACGTGATGCCCAGCGCTGCCACTCAGCTTGATCGTTTGGGAGTAGGATTTCCAAGGGACCGCGGGACTTCACGCGGCTTATAAGACTCAGGCATGATGGGTTGACCGTGTCAGGGATTGGGGGTCTGGGTTTGTCGTTTGGAATGGGGGGCATAGAATCCAGGTACCTGGTTTTGGAAGCCTTGGGCTCAGGATCTTAGGATGCACTTCCGATTCATGGGGCACTGTATCATGCGCCAGTGTATGTGGAACTGGGATCTCCTACATGTCCCCGAAACCGCACAACCACCCGACTCCCTCCAAGCACGAAACACACAACCAGCAACCCCAGCCCTCAACTGCCAACATCGTCAGCTACTGTACATCCTATAGACTCGAAGCTCCGCAAGCTTGGAATGAAACCTGGAGGATGGCTTGACACTGGCGGGACGACCCGTGTACACCCTCCAGTACATGGAGTGGGGCATCAATGTGTCCAAGCAGCATCAGAGCATAAGTCTTGTTTCGTTTGTCTTGGGGACTGCTTGACTGATGTGCGGACTTCCGAGTGCTAGCGCAGTTTGCGTTCTCAGCCGTGGGCCCGTACATTTCAAAATCTCGAAGCCCTGGTCCACCCGCCAATAGCAACAACACGGGCAGATTGCTGGCAGCCTGCAAAATTTTGGAGAACGCTAGACTACACGCCCAAACGTTCCAAAGGTACCTATCCTTCTCATCCTCGCTGGCTACTGCAGCATGGGCCGGCCCATTCAGGAGATGTAGTAGACTTGGGGGCGTCTTGTTCGCTTGTGTATGGGGATTCTTCGAGTATTCGATTTCGGAGTTTGATTTCCCAGGGCAGGGGTTGCACTAAGCCCTCTACATTGGCAGCTGAGCTCAGCGGCTTAGCAGTCTTTAGCAGGGGTATTAGGGATATGTATACGATGAATCAGGTCTAGGATGTACCCAGCCCCAAAGTAGTCTGTATAGAACTTGTTTTGGGGTTCCATGTTACCGTGGGGTAAGCCCCATGCTGGAGCTTTGGGGCTTCAAAGGGGTCAAAATTCGTAAGATCCTGGGCAGAGGGAGAGAACCGAAGCCGTGCACGCTGTTTGCAAGCTTTGCTACCGAAAACTTGGTCAACTAAACCGGAATGGGTGCGAAGGAAATCTCCCGTCCCCTGGTCGTGACCAACATCTACGTAATTCTCTGCTGGGCGGCAACAGCCACGGAGAGCTCCGTGCTGAAGTGCCTTGTATCGATGAGCTCATGGAGCCTTTTGAATGTGCATGTTAGGTCAGGGGTACACGAACCTGGGCCCGGGGGACCTTGGCCGGGCCAAAAGCGCCTGACAGAACGCTTACGATGCTAACACTCCTTTCGCTGCAAAATTTACAAAAAGGGACCTGAGTAGATTGTAATTACGGAGCATTGTAGGCAGTGCTTGTGGATACATTATCATGCATTCCCCCATCCTACAAGTCGGGCTCTATGTCATCCTCAACATTTTGAGGACCTTCTTGTGATGGGATTGGGAACCCCAAGCTTCTCTGCTGTCTTTTTAGCCTGAGCCTGCAACAAGTTGTAATAACCTTGGAGACTCCCTGAGATGTTGTTGCCCTGTTTGTGCCCAGTTTGAAGCTCGATTCCCCACCCGTTGCTCATGCTTGATCCCTGGATTCTTTGCAGGGCATCCAAACCTTTCGAGATCCTCGGAGCCAAGGTGGTTCCTGATTGTGGTGTCCTTCGCAATGTATGGTTGGGCATCTGTCGACATGCTGAACTGGTGCGCGGCCTTTGAACGGACTGTGACGCGTCCGTCAATGTATGTTTTGTTTTGTTTTTTGGGAGGGGGGGGAGGGGTGGTTAATTTCGAACCAAGCTATCATTCGTTTGGGGGGCCCTGGACTGAGGTTGTTGTTTCTTCCGGCAACCTGAGTGGTGTCAACTCGTCATTTTCTGATTGTGGATGCTAAGTTTCCATGGACCTTGACGTCTGTGGGAGTCTAAGCTACGGACAACCTACCTCTACGGACTCTAGCGGGCTATGACCAGGCAGAGGCCCAAGAAAGAACACCTAAGGTGTGCGAATTTCTATTCAAAGAACCATCTTTACAAGTGTCACTCTATACGTGTTGATGGTCAAAACCATGGGGCCCATGTTTATCTTCCAATGATTAGTGGGCTTGACACTTGCGATGCGCCAGCCGAAGTGTGCTTCCAATGCTTGAGCGAAGCTCCTTTGCCGTTGGCGCAGTCAGCGGGGATGATTTTCTGGTAGTAAAACTAAGCTGTTTTCCCAATCCAAGCTGCTCTTACTAGAAACTTCAATTAGAACGTTTGCCTCAAAGATCTGAAGCTTCAGGATTTCAGGCTTCAGGCCAGGTGCAAACCTAATTGTCGATTTCTCATTAAACCGCTTCTTCGAGGAGGCCAGGCAATCGTTTTTGCAAGCGGGTAGGTAGTCCAGCAGCTGCTCTCAATAATACGAAAGTTTCGGCGGGGAGTTCAAGTATCCGAAGCTTACGGGCCCCCTAGGGATTCCAGAAAGCAAGGGCCGTTAATTACGAATTGAATTTAATTTCCAACAGCTACTAGGCTCCGCAATGCTCCTCCTGTACGATGTAAGTTAAAACAGGTTCCGAGCTCAGGAAGCTCCTCGTATTGAATCTATAAAGAATTCTGCAACAGATTCCGAGCTTCGGAAACTCTCCTCCTGTTGAATTCGATTTAAAGCATATTCTGAGCTCCGGAGGCCCCCCTCCTATTGAATCTAATTTAATACTATGACACCGATTTGTTTGGCTGTCAGCACAGTCTTCACAGCTGATTTGTGTCGAGGCGCCTGCGGACCTCCCTGCGCGAAGCATCCGCCCTTTGCTCTCCTCGGGCCTGGTTGTGCGCCCTGGGTGAGACTTAGGCTCCAAGGTTTACTCTACAGAGCCTAGGGTATAGGGCTTAGGCTTAGGGTTTATAAGGTATAGGGTATGGGGTTAAAGCGCGAAGGGGTTTAAGGTTTGGGCGTTTCTGCAAAAAATGGTACTTACGCCTGTACCAGAGGAGGGTCCTCACCATGGTAGTTGTCAGAGGAGGGCTGTTATCTTCCGTTAATCTTGGGAGATGGTTGATTGGTCTTATGGGTCTGGCATCGATTATTGTTCGTTGTAGGGCTTGCAAATCCAAACAACCTTGGATTAAAAATGCAAGAGATTGCAAAGCCCAGAACCTCCACAAACTGAACGTTCACTTTGCAGAAGCTGCCACATTCGGCCTTTGGCTGACGACTAGCGTGGCTAGAGGTCCTGGGCCTTGAGTTTAAGTTTCCAGCTCTTTGTCCCTGAGCCCTGAGCAAGCGTTGGTCTAGAGCTTCCAGTTGGTGATGTACTAGGCAGGCGAGGCGGCTGCTATTACCATGGAGCTTGATATCCCAGAGATGTCAGTTGGGACTGTGGCATATGGTGGGCTTCGGGTTGCCGGCTGTTTGGGGGCCTTGTGGGCGATGGTATGTGTAGTTGGGACCCTGGAACTAGTCTTGGGTCAGCCTGCGCTCTGCACTCAAGATCTCTGAAGACTTGCCTGGAACTTGTCAGAAAGCATGAGTGTGGTGTTTCTTTTTGCATTCTGGCAACTCATCCAGGTTGGGGAGGTTTGTGGGGCGTTGGTCCGTGTTTGTTATCAACACAGCTCCTTCTGGCACAGGCAGGTCCCATATTATCAAGATCGGGCCCTGGTGCTCGAACCTCTAGCAACTTTGAATTGCAGCAGAAGCCGGACAGCTGGGACATCAGCATCCTACTACTTGACTACCTAGACGGGGAAAAACAACCGGATAAATGATCCAGTTCCCATGTTCAATCTTTTCAGCATTTACTGCAAAGCTCTGAGGCACCTCTTGCTCTACGGTGTGGTGTACATGGCCGCAGTTTTGGGCCTCATCTCTGCTCACCTGGAGCGAAAGTCCTTCTTCGAATCTCGCCCCAGGAATTGGAGCATATGGGAGTTGGGCACAGATTAGTTCCACTGGGGGCTCCTTCTTTTTCAATTGGGGGATGATGTCTCAGCAGGACACTTTCCAGTTGCCACATTGGAAGGTCAGGTGCGCGCAAAGCATCCCCTTTGCACCGGAGACTTCTTCGATAAGAACAAAGAGAGTGTCCAGCACACCCCATATGGGGGTTTCCCAAAATTAAGGGTACCTTTTTGGGGGTCCCTATAATAAGGATTATAATATATTGGGGTGTATATGAGGGTCCCCCTATTTTGGGAAACTACCATATGGGATCAGCCTCTCATTGACGAACCCAGTGTTGGATATTTGGGTAACGGGGGGCAGCACCAGCGACATTACGCTTCAAAGGGGCCGCGGTCCATGATTACTTGACAGTCAGGTTTGGATGTAGCATCCTATATGATGCGCATCTGTTCCCCCATGAGATGTCTGATGGATTAGTTGCAGAAGGGACGCTGCATCCCATGTATACGAGGATCATGTAGGGATCATAGCGGGGGATGAAGCGGTACTTCGCCATCCTCCAAGAAGGTTGACTGTATTCGGCTTCCAGAGGAGGGAACAAGACTTCATGATTTTAGGTTTTGGAGGGTATCAGCTTTAGGCTTGTGGGGCCAAGTGATTTTTTGGGAGCTGCCTAGCAGGCAGAGGCTCTTTCCTTAACTTTGTTTACTCTACACGGCTTTCTTCGCATAGGATGATCCAGATCAGGCAGATGGGTAGAAGTTGGGCAGATTAGCAAAGATTACTTACAAAAAACATGGTTTCGTAACCCATCCTCTGAAGGGCCCTACAGTCAGTCTATCATGCGATTCTTCTCGAGTCCTCATGAAAAAGCAGTTGAGGTTGCCACAATTGTGTAGCAGGGTTCAAGAGTCAAGGCTTGAGGCGGATTGGCCGGAGTTCAGCGTGAAGGGTTTGTTGCTTCAGAGAGCCGGGCCAAGTTTTGAAATGGTTGGCTCAGCCTGCAGTTTTGGATATTGGGGTTCAAGCGGCTTGCAGGCTACAGGGCGGGAGCTTGTGATGGCGTCAGGCTTTGTTCCCGTTATACAAGGGGTCTTAGACGGGGATTATGCTGGGAATGTTCAGGGCGTGGGGTTTTGGGGTTTGGTAGTGCCAAGAGTATAGTTTGCCAATCAACCCAGAAACAAACATCATGGCAGCATTCCTGATCCCACGACCCATGTCCCTAAACCCCGCCTGGATCCAAAAGGAAGCTCGAAAGGGTTCTTCTTCTGCCACAGGTGATCGCTGCAAGGGCCCCTCTAGAGCCTCAGTCCTGCGCATTTGACTTCGGAAAGTCAGGCCTTGACCTTCGGGTCGAAGATCGCGTACAGCGCAGCCTTCGTGCTGCTGGACAGACACTGGTTGAGGGTTTTGGTTGTCGACGGCTTTCGCTTCAGGACCTCGGCAATGGGAAGTAATGGCCAGGGTTTAGCGGTCTGGTCTTGAGTCTGCTTCCAGCGTTCAGGTTGTACGTTTTGGGGCATATCTCGAGATTATGGGTTTTGATTTTTTGGCGTTGCAGCGCCTGGGCAGTTTTTAGATGTGCAGTTCCGGAAGGGTCGGGTGGGGTTTTCGTTGCAGGCCACCAGTTCTAAGCCCAAGTTGCCGGCCATGAAGGGGAAGTGATCCTGAACAAGGCGGGAGGCGGCGAGGTCCTTTCGCTATTTGGTGTCATACAGAGTGGCATTACCATCAAGTAATGTAAGCTTGGCCAAAAACTTTCTTGGGAGATCTCAAAAGTTCGTTCTGGCCTCGCCTAGGTAATCGTTGCTCCTCAGCCTTAATTTGCACTGAGTTCTGCGTGAAATCCTCCTTTCACGCTCTCACGCCTCAACAATGTCGAAAAAATACGGCCCCATGATCTTGCATAGGTTCATTCGAGCGGATGAGTACCACAAGACACTGACGGACGTGCTTCGCAAGGCTGGGTTGTTCGATGCGAGATTGCTCTGAAACGTAAAATCCCAATTATCATAATTATATCCTGGCATTCTAAAGTGACAGCGTAAGGAAGGTCAACTTCTGAGGAGAGACTGACGAGCATTTGGGGAGGCTTTCTCAAAACTATCTCTACATTTCCTGAACGGAAGCCTCCCAGATATCCCCAGGGCCCCGAAGAACCTGTCCCCCATTTTGACAAACTTCCACATGCAACCAGACGGTTTACACTGCCTTCGCCCCCCAGATTGACATGGAACTCCATGTAGCCAGTTGTTGTTCAAGGACACTGGCGTTTGTGAGCTTTTTGTTGTGTGTTCCATGCTTGTGCGTGCGATGGAGTGAATAGTGTTCAAGACCAAACACGGTGATGCCAGATAAGCAGATCTCGCATCCTCTTCCGCACCCGCAGCTGTATACCTAACTGCAGTTTACGTAATCGGAAAAGGTCTCCAAAACTCTTTGAAGATAGGTCTCCTGGGGTTAACCTTTTTCAATCCCTACGGAAAAAGGTCGAAGCTCAAATCTGTGTAAACCTTTCGCCTCCAAGCCCTGATACGTAAGCGCCAATTCAAGATCTACCCAAAATTTTCCTCATCCCGTACCCAATCAATACGCAAGAGCCTACCCGACCCGCACAAACATGGAATATCAATCCTTTTGTCAGTTGTTTTGATGGGTTTGCATCTTAGTTTGGGGCATGGTAGATGAAAAATGCTCATTCCATGGAAGTTGCTTTTTGTCTGGGGATCGTATAGTCACGTCCCCAATATTATCCGCAAAACGCCACTCATGGGCCCTGCACCTCCAAATCTCAACATCGCCAGGCCTGATCAATAGATGTGGTCTCCGGTACCCTGAAGGTTATAAATGCATTGTTGTAGGGATCCCATCCTTTCGGGTATACACAAGAGCCACCCTCTTTGTCAAACAAATCGTTTCCCGATGTCCAGAGCAGGTGAGCGTGTCGAATCTGGGCCATTGATTGAGCAAATGTTTGGGGATGTTCATGGCTGGTACTGAAGTCCACAAACCGTGCATGGAGGAAATCTTGAACCACCCTAGACACCCTAGACCCCAGCAAAAGTCGTGCCAGAACTCCTTATCATCCGCTTATGTATCGGCATCTTTGTGACCGCATCCCTTTAAACCCTGATCCGTCAGCCATCATCTCAGAAACGTGGGCATGATCTCAATTCTCCGGGGCCGCCTGGACTTCAGAGAGCAGATTATCATGGCCTCTCCTGGCTTGACCCAAAATTGCGGCTAAGGAAGAAAATCAACCTATGACAGGCTTCGGGAGTCATTTTGCAGAGATGAGACTTTATGCGGCAAGTTCTAGTCATGTTTGCAGGCCTGTACTTGCTGCAAGGAGACGAAAAGCATAAAGGCAGCAATGAGAGGCTAAATCAAAGTTTGGGTTTCCTGGATCGTAGGGTCCTGCGCAAAATCTCAGCTTCCATCGTCAAGCCTCTAGAAGTCCCTGCAAAGATAGCCTTTGAGTAGTCGTGCTGGTTGTGCATGAGGGCAAGGGGGCATTGAATCAAAATGCAGCGAGGTAGACACTGGCTGCCTCTGCTCTCCTCCACTGAGCAGCCCGAACGAGTATCCCACGTGCATTCAAGCACAACTAGACCATAGATGCTGAACAGCCCTCAAGGCACACAGCCTAAGATCACCCCCCGAACATTTGCTTTGAACAGAATCAACGGCAGCTTTCATGTCATCTTACAAACGTCTTCTGGTTTTGAGAATTAACCTCCGGGTTCCACCCTCAACCTAAATTGCTGAATCCTATTCCCCAAAACCACGACAGGGAAAACAAGGAAGAGAGCGTGGGCCTTGAACCCTGCGCCACAACCGAGAGACGCTAAACCTTCATCCCCAAACAGTCACTGGCGCTAGGAGATACAAGGGCTTTTGTAAATCCCTCATTCCCTATTAAGAACAAGCTGAACAACCAAGGCAGCTTCGACATCATCCTCCCTTGCGTACTGGATGCAGGAGGCCGTTGCAAGCTTCCAAGCACCTATTCGGGAGATATGGGCAAGCTGGAGAGACCTGCTCGCAAGGTGTGCGGTACGGTGTTTAGGGTCGCAGATTGTTTTGATTATTGGGTTGAAGGGCTTCGGAGGCTTACGGAGTGCAGAACAATTCCGTGTGGGGGCTGTGGCAATCTGTTGTTCAGCACCTGGGGTTCAAGTTAGTAAGGATAGGTTTTGGCTATAGCTGTAAGGCTGTAGGGCCAGGACTACGGGAAGCGCTTGTGGGATTACAGCGCGGTCACGAGATCGGAGTCACCGTGCAGAGGGGTATTGGGGTCAGAGCTCAAGGTGTGGGTGTATGGGAACACTGTATACACAGATCTCATTCGCAATTTTGTTGTAGCGTATTTGCCGTTTGCTTTTCCTCTCACACGCCGCAGTAATGACACAGCAGAATCATCGAGGACTCCGCGCAAATTTTAAATCTACACCCGGAACGCTGCATCAGCCTGCATCCTGAACCCTTTGGAGGCTTCCAAGAATCAGGGAGAGCCCCTCAGGTTCGAAATGCCCATGTGCCGCCCCTGCACCCGCAAAGCCTATTCATCTTCAAATCTAACCACAAGGAAGATGTTGGGCTACCCAGTGTCCGGCGCCAACCTGCAGAATCTCTTGGCCGGAGACCAGGAAGCCACAGTCTAGAGTTCTTGGCCATAGGGTTTTGGTTTAGAGTAAGGCTTGTTGCTTAAGGTGGAGCTTTCAGTCTCGCGCTGAGTGTTCCAAAGGAGTACGTTGGGAACATCCAAGGGACCCGGTCGTGCTTCACCTTTTTGGGGGATATGGGTCTTCGCGTAAGGTTCAAAGAGCTGGGGAACGCTGGGGAATTCGGCATCTAGGTCAATCCTGAACCCTCAACCCTGTAAGCCTTATAAACTTCAGTCCTAAATCCAAGGCCTGAGTCCAGAAACCCTAAATACCTGGACTTCCAGGATGAATATTCTGCGTGTGTGCAGGCATTATCCATCAGCTGCACCTTCAATAGAGAACGTCTATAGAAATCTTCAATCCTGTAGACTGCAGACATCCAAAACTAGATGCACCTTGTACATTTCCCGGATCCGGTGTACATTCACCACATTGGGCCATATCTCTCGCGTTCCGCCCACTTAAGCAGAGTCGACAGGCCACAGCCATTGTATTCCCAACAAACTCCTAGACGAAACCCTGAACCCGAAACGCCAAATCTAACACCAATGTCTTTTGTCTATCATCCTTTCGCAGGATCGTTCCGACTTCTCCTCCTACGCTTCTGGGGTGCACACGTGCAGGGTTTTGGGGTTGAGGTCCAGTAGCTAAGATTAGGGTCTACATGGCCTGTCTGTGAGAAACAGGTTCGTGCTTGAGAAGCACTTCAACGCATAACCATGCGCGGAGAATGGTGCTAGTGGGGAAGCTGCAAGACGTACCCAAGGCCTGAACTTTCAGTTAATTCTGTTTTTGTCAAATGTAGCCCCCGATGTGTAATCCCGATTAGCATTCTGGATGAGCCGAAACTTGTGGAAGTTGGCGGCTATACTTGGGAAGCTTGAACCCCAGGCTAGACTTCCGAACTCTGTATCCGATGATGATAAGCAAAGTTGACAAGACAATATCTGTTTTGAAGGAGGGTGGCAATAATTTCAGGCTCTCAGCTGCTACAAGTTCTCTACCGGCGAGTCCTGCCTTGCCAGTGCCCCCGCTCGGACCAGGATGCTTCAAATTTTCAAAACCTCGGGCGAGCAGGCACTCGCAATGAATTTCGAGGATTTCGTCGAGACGATCGGTGTGGTCGATGAGCCCGTCCTGGCACAGCATGTGAAGCGCCATTTGCAGCAGCTGTGCGGGCAACCACGCTTCAAGCAGCGGCTGCTGCTTCCCGACGGCCAGATAATGTCAGATGATTACGTGCTAGATGGGCCAAGAGACATCCAGCTAATATTGCTGCCCTTCCTCCCAAGTTCTGAAAGCCAAATTGACCAGCTCGTTCGTTTTGCTGGGGCAGGTGATGTTGCTAAGATAGAGCAGCTACTGCAACGACCACAGGATCCGAATTTGGAAGCTGCACAAGGAACTCCGCTCTTGCTCGCATGTCTGAATGGTCGTGTGGATGCAGTCCGTTTGCTTCTAGAAGCTTGCGCTGACAAGGACAAGGCGGACTGCACCAGTGCAACGCCCATGGCTTTGGCATCTTGGAGGGGACATGCGGAAATTGTGCGGATCTTGTTAGAGGCCAGAGCTGACAAAGACAAGGCCGACGAGCGAGGACTGGCGCCAATACACGTGGCAGCGGGGACGGGCCGCGTAGCAGTTGTGGGATTTCTTCTTGAGGCCAAAGCTGACAAGGATCGAGCCACGATAGCTTTGACAACGCCAATGATTCTGGCAGCAGCTATGGGCCATGTGGACGTGGTTCGGTTTCTGCTGGAGGCCAGAGCTGACAAGAACAGGGCGGGGGGTAGCGGCATGCCTCCTATATCCTTGGCATCTGCAAGGGGCCACAGGGAAGTCGTGCAGTTGCTACTGGAGGCTAAGGCATCCAAGGGCCAGGGCACACAGCACAGGCAAAGGCCCATGGCGGCATGGCTGGCTGCGGCGACATGTACGCTGCCTGATTGCTGCTGGACACCTATTTTCAGGAGGCTGTACAGTCCAAACCAGGTGTGATCTCCCTGCCAGAGTGAGGCGGCGTTGAAACCGCAAGGCGGGTTTGGCGGTGGTTTTTGAATAACTACGACTGACGTGCTACCCTCATCACATCCCTTCTCCTAAGCTGCCGCTTGTTCAGTTGGGAGCTTTAGACTGCATTCTGAGCTCCCTCACGATGTGAAGGTAGACGTAAACGGATGGATGATGCGTATGTTCGTGTATATGTTACACACTGACACTTGGTTATAAGACAATTGGAGCACTCATGAATTGGCGGTGCTAATGCTAATCGGCAGGTTGTTCATTGCATTAAATACAAGGCAGCAGAGCAATCACCAAACTCAAAGAACTGTCTCACCCATCGCTCTCCACGCTACCGTTCGCCTGGCCAAGTCAGCAAAAAAGAGAATTTGAAGCACCAGGAAGAGATGGAAGGGTGCAGGGTGGGCAGTTCGGAGCTTCAAGGTGTAAGCTGCGTTTGGTCAGACTCTAAGCTTCGACGTTGTAGCTGCCGGCAATCCTGAATTGCAAGGTAGGAGCTTCAGCACAGTCTCCAAGCATCAGCACCTGTCATTTGTCATTCCACACGTTTCAGTAGTTCTCACAGTTCGGGAGTTTTTGTGAGCCATCGTCTTAATGAATGTATAGGACTCGAGATTTGGTCGCTACAGGTCCTATACGGCAAACGCCTGTAAGACTTGAGCCAGTCCCTGGCTGAAACCTTTACCTTCAACATCAGAAGCACAAGTTTATCAGAATTCCCCTTATATAACCCTGGTGCAGGCCACCATGTTCCCCTTCTAGTCCCAGTGTGTCCGCAGGGTCCCGAAGCGTCCCCGCTATGAGAAAGATCCCACGTTCCAAGATCCATGCAAGGTTTGCGCAGTTGGGGCTGAGGAAGGCGTACAGGGCTCAAAAAAATTGTATCACGACCTGTTGATGAGGTGGGATGCGGGGGTGCTACTGTAGAGACTGGGGGAGGTGATTGCACTCCCCGCAGGCAAACATAGGGCCCCTCTCGAAAGGATAGTAGGAGGGATACCCTTGCCTACGTATCCTGGAAGGGGTGGGTACCCCTCCTGAGATTCTAGGCGCCCAGCCGGAAATTTATCCAGGAGGGGTGTCTTGTCATAACCAATGTTGGTGTGGGGTGTGCGCATTTCATTGCATGCTGCCGCGTGGATCACAACCTTTTGGAAATTGCTGGCATCCTGCAACGTGCTGCCATACTCTTCTGGGTCTAAGGTCTATAGGGGATACGGTGTAGGGTCTGAAGTTTAGGATCTAGGGCTTGCGATTGTGGGTTTAGGATTTTGCTCAGGAAAACCAGGGATTGGATGGGTCAAAGTCCGAGTGTTTTCTCATGTCTCATCATTCAGGCTCGAAGCAAGTAATGTATTGTGGGAGGCCTTGACCAGGTTACCCCCAGCCTGGATACGTTCCGGTGTCTTCCTCACCAAATTAAATAACCTCTCGCCCTAGAACCTGGGTATGCAGGTTTGAGGGTCTAGGGTTTAGGGCCTAGGGCTGAGGGCCTAAGCGAAGGACCGAGGTTTGCTCATATTTGCAGCATCACGACGGCTTGGAAGGTATTTGTAGATACGTATGTACATAGATATACCTGCAAAAATCCTTTTTCGTTCTGATAAAGGAGTTTGGCCCAATATTAAACTTACGCACCTGGTCCCCATGATTCTCCAAGTAGGGGTGCGAACAGAGAGGTTGCATAGTCCTGGAACTACGTAAGATTAAAGGCCCCCCGGGATACATTTCTTTTTCCTGGGAAGCTTCTAGTCATAATGTATGCATGGGGGGGGGGGGTCACGTTTTCGAGTTGTATGACAGTAGTCTTGATAAGGGCCCCTTTTGTAGTTCCCCCGATTATACTGCTTGTCAAGACCCCCCAATTAGGCAGTTACCAGGTGGGTACCCTTAATATGGCCCATGTGGCCTCATGACCCAGCCTCATAATATGAGCCTTATGTGGGGGGTAAAGTTTGGCTTGAGCTTACCTCCAGATTCAGGTAGCGATCACATGGGCAAGCCTGAATTACTTACTTGCGAATAGCTGAAGCTATTCAGGGGTGAGCCCTGGTCCTACTTCCAGGTTCAGCGCGACTATACCTTACTTCCCGCAGCAGTCATATCCCAACGTGACGATCCCCTAAGCTGCTTGGGGTTCTAGTTGGTATAAAAACTATCTTGGACCTCCAAGTGATCATAGCTATCGGCCAAGGTTCGCAATGTGGTTCGCCAGGCTGATTGCCCACAAGCCTTCAACGAGGCAACCCTGTCTACCCAAGGAGCGAGAATGCTTTGCAGAGTTTGGGGGTTGGTGTGTTTGAGATGAGGGTCTTCGGGTGTAGGGTTTGAGACTCTAAAGCCTGAAATTTAGGGAAATATCAGTCCCAGATTCCCAAGTGGGGTTTTGGTCTGCGCGGAAATCGCAGGATCCTGAAGCGAGGACACATTCTGTCGGTTATGGAGTTTGAGCTCAGAGGTGAGGGAGCTCCAGGTCATTTATGTAGGTCTGCAGTGTCTAAGTGTTGTGTCAGTTTGGAGACAGCTCATTATGGCGAATGAACCAACCACCACGCACAAGAAGATATCTTCGGCAGATGCCGGGCCCAAGTGCTGCAAAAGCATGCCCAGCAACTCCTCAGAGCTCATCGGTCATCCAGAGCTAATTTTTAATACTCTGGGCTCAAGCAGATTGCAACTGTGAACATGATGAGGTTCCGATTGCCTTTTTCGAAAGAGACATCTGATATCTTGGCATACCAAGGAGACCCGAATGTTAAAACATACTCCAAGCCCACCACTGTTCGCTCCAGGTTTCTGATCCCTGAACCTTGGCCCTACACGTATGGTTTATCGGGTTCGCCTCAATCTAAATTTTCATGTATTCCGACAAAGGAGCTTGGACTTGCAACACCGGGTCTATGCCACCAATTGCGCAACAAGGCTGCGAGAGCTGTGGGGTCCCCAAGGACTTCTTTCTGGTCAGCGTTTGGGACTCTCCTTTAAGTAGGCACTCCGCACGCCTGTATATGAGAAGTGGCCTCGAAATAGTCGGGTACTGAAGCGGACTACTTAATCTGATAGGCAAGCTAAGGTCAAGGGCTGGTCACGGAATCAGGGATGGACGGTCCGCAACCTCCAGCGAGCCCCATGATGGATACCCGAGACGGCCTATGGACCGCGCAGTAGCTGAGGGAAGGTTTGCTGCAGCTTTGCATAAACTTCTTCGGGCAGGTCTGCAAGTTTGGCTGCAATTGTGCTGACTGACAGCGGGCAGCCGTATCCGAAAGCCCTGACTCTAGACTCAAGGTGCAGTCCTCTTGCAGCGTGATCTCAGCTCAAGATTTGAAACCCTTCGCTCTTGACTCGAGCCTTTGCCCCCAACCCTATTCCCATTTAAGTTGGCGCTATTTGAGGACCAGAGTCTGCGTATGGTTGGAACGTGGGTCGAAAGGCTCTCCCAGACAGGGTATCATGCAGCGTGCGTAGGTTGTGAAAACCATTAACCCAGGCAATGCTCTGCATGTCAGAAATGCATACCCATACATGACATGATTCCTCTGAGATTTTGCCGCATGTTGCAGGTTTTAGACCCAAAATCCTTGCTGTGCAAGGTTTCCCTCATGAATGGGAGTTAGAGAGCCCCCTCTCGTCAAGATAGAGTCTGCAAAAGCCTGACCTGAAGACTCAACTCCTGAACAAACCGCATGGAGTTTTCCAAAGATAAGGCAAGTCCTCCACAGCAAGATGCAGTGCAAGGCGGGGGGGAGGGTGGTTCTTGACGGGTTGCTGAGAGTCCGATGCAACAGGGGCGTTAGCTGAATTGCCGATTTCACTTGCAACTGGTACTCGTACGTGGGGCCTTCATCGCCACTGTGCCCGCTTGGGGGCCCTGAGTGGTTTCCACCTGCCTTGACAGGATACCATACGACTGAAGACAACTTTTTGATCAATACTCTACGCCCGCATTGACCCAGTAACTCATGATCTTTTGCAGGAATGTTTTTGAGCAAGTTGAACGCTCTGCGCCCCCAGGTGGCGAACGGATCAAAGCTCGACACCACTCTTCATCTGTCCGTTGTTCCGCGTTCCGCGATGACATTCGGGAAGGAGCTCATTAGGAGTCAGGTCTCGGCTTTGCTTTTCGGGTGGTCATGGCTTTGGGCTCAAGGAGGTTGGCTTCAGCGCCGGCTTCAGCGCATAGTTAAGATCCGAGTTAAGATCTGAGTCTAAGATTTATAAAGCAGGAGCCTAGCGTGTCGGGCATGCATATGCCATTTCAGGCTCGTATAAGCATATCACCCCGCACTACTCTCCCCCTTCTAATAGATAAGTCCAAATGGGGCCTGCTCTGGGTTCTCTGGTCTTTATTCGTGCGCTACTTGGGGCGGAGGCTGTCCGGGTGGCCGTACTAGACGGTCCCTTTATAGGAAAAAAATCATAGTGAGAGTTTGGGATTAGCCTCACTCACCTATAGTTTTATGTGTTCAACTGCTGAACAGTAGGTACTAGCGCTACCAGGAGGAGCTGGGGAACCTCATGCTTTGGGCAATTATGGGGTGAATTGTTGGCCACACATCACGTGGAAGTTGTTGTGCTTTGTGGAGGGTTTGGGTTTTCTCCAGAGAACATTAGGCATAGATATCGTTTGGCCGCGGATATTTTGGTATACATGTCGTTCCTGTCTTTTGAGGTTGGTACAGTTGAGGGTGTGTGGCATGCGGCGTCTCAGTACTAGGGGTCAAGGATGAGGGCCTGGTCAGCTTGATTCCATCAACCTCTGCTATCCCATGCTCAGGCAAGAATGTGCAAACGAGAGTTCTTGTGCATGCTTCCAAGTGCTTTTTCGGATCCTTCTTATACTCTTATACACACATAGGAGGTTGAGACGCCTGTGTATACGATTGAGCCCAACAAATTCCATTCCATTCTCTCGCCTTCCCTCAGAGTATAGAAAAGGCCACCACAGGTGTACCATACAGGCCAGGATTAGTTCTAGGTTTCTCAAGGCAGAATCATCAGTTAAAGGGTAGAGGCCACCAAGAAGCTTAAATCTCTTTCAAGGACATGCAAGATGTGTTAAGTAGATGGATTCGCCCCCTATACATTTTGAAGCTGTAGACCTGGAAAATTGACAGCTTAAACCCAATAACATATATAACCCACATACCAGACGTGCATGCTCTTATGAGCTAGGCGGGGGAGAGATGTTCAATGGCGCAGCAGTCATTCCTCAAAATTCTGGGTCGCCCACCGCACACCCCCCACGGTCAGATATCTGGGACGCCGGGATCAAGAGCTTTGAGAAAGCCAGTACAAACTTCACTGTCTTGAGAGCGCACCCGACTAGGAGCGTCAGTTGGTTGTGGCGATCCAGTTCACTGCGCCTGCCATGCAAGAGGCCATCAGCGCTTTCAGGCTTCACAGAGTATGCGGGTTCAGGATGCAAAAGGGTTCATGGCATCCCGGCATGTAGGCTGAAACAATGTCTGTGCCCTTACGTATAAAAGTTTCTAGATTATTTGGTATTACTTGAGCGCTTGTAATTTCAGCCCTGCCGTTCACGGTTCGGGCCAAGAAATCTGCTGAATCTAGTTTTAAGGTTTGGATGTTTGAGCTTTTTAGTGGGAATCCTTTGTTGCAACATGTCATGTTGATCTTTGCATGCGCCCGCCAGAAAGTGTGCACGCGTATGCCCAACGAAGAAGATCAAAGCATTCTGCTAGGGCGTCACACTTCTCAACAATCTGGACTTGGGGTGAGGCTCACGCATATGCTTTGGCTCCTCCGACCTTGGTAACGATGGCAGCTGTCATGGGAATTTCCATGTACAACGCGTCTTGAGTGGAGGAATGAGAGGAATGCCATCGAGTAAGGAAATTCTCCTTATTTAAACCTTCCTGTAGATGTTAACTCCATACAGCAGTTCCAATGAAGCATGTCAAGGCAGCGTCGTTTTCTGGCAGTGCTTTCCTTTTCCTTCACAAGAGCATGCTCGCGAATGTCATATCTTTTTTTGCATTCATCACTTCATGTCGTAAAAGATGCCTTCGCCAAGTATGCCACATTGCATGAAACGTAGAACGAAACGTAGAAGAACTGATTCCAGCAAACCCCGCCGATGACAGGCGAAGGACAGCGATGTTTCCGTGGCAGGCTTTGAGACCTTCCAGGTCCTTCGGGTAGAGTTTGGTTGAGCTTCATTTTCTAGTTGCGATATGATAAGTGTGTCTTAGCGCATATTTCAGTATGAATCCATATAATATTTGATGTCATTCTCGCAATTTAGTACAGCCCCAAAAATCAACCAGGGTAGGGCTTACGGAAATTGAGGGGGCGTTCAGCCTTTAGGATCCTGGCGTTCAACTCTTGAGGTTGAGAGGCTTGCGGTGAATTCCTAAATGCGGCATTTTGTGTTGAGGGCATCTTCATGTTTGGAAATTGAATCGGGGAATTTAGGGGGATTCACGGTGCAGGCTTCTACAGAGTGTTTTGTATAGACAGCTTTGTGCAAGGGTTTATAGATAGGGTTTGGGGGTCAAGGGCTCATGAGTTTGTGGCCCGTGCCCCAGCTCCTTTTGCCCAGCAGAAAATGGACCGATCTCGGACATGCTGCAGACAGTACGGTCGCGGATTTCGGGGGTTGGGTGGTCCGTGGTTGATAAAAAGGTTCGAGTCGGCTTCCCCGAGCGAGCCAGTACATGGACCAACGATCCGAGTTAAAGCTTGAACATGAGCAATGTCACGTTTTTGGAAAAGAACGAAAATATGATATTATGACGTGCGACAGAGTCGCCTGCCCTGGTCCCAAATCGCTCAAGCCCAGCTGGCCTCAAACCTCATATCATTTTTTGCAACGAAGGCAAAGAAGAGCATCTCATCGGGCGGCTCCACGCAGCCCACCAGCGACACCCAATCCCAATCGGCTATCGTCGCGAACTTGGCGGACTTGACGAAGTTGGGAATGCCCGGGAAGCTTTGACAACAAAAAATGCCGAACACTGGGGCTGTAAGTCTGTAAGTAGCACCTACCTTGCGATTTCATGCTTAATCACCTGGATGATACGTAGCAGAAGTACAGCTTTCAGGGGTCTATGCTCAATGCATTACAGAGGGAAAAGAGCACCCGCTCAGATAATCAAAATATCCTCCACAAGACAGTAGCTGAGCAGCGTAAGCGGCCAAATTTTGGATGGTGATTTCTGCATAGGTTGGCTGGTAACGGGATGCAGGCCTTGCCTTGGGCTTCCGGGCAGTTGTGTCAGCAGGGGTTGCTGGATTCCATGCATCTTTATAGTGTTTGGGAGAGACTGAGAGATCAGGCCTCAGTATGGCTTCAGGCTTGAAGCTGTATGGTATACAGGAGGTTGCAGAGGACTTCTCCACCCATGTCAAGGATTATCGTCAGAGATATGACCAAGGAAATTGGGGCCTCGAGAGTTTGTCTTCTGGGAAGGGAGGTATATAGGGGCTCCTTTGGCATTGTTGCTGCAGAAATTGGAGTTGGGTTGGGTGGGGCCAATGGGTAACAGAGATGATAATTTGAGTCTAGCCAGCTGGCAAGACCTAGATTGGAAAAATTGAAGTTAAGTTCTCGAACAGGGGTTCGATGGGTTTTTAGGTTTCAAGCTTTGGAAGAGCTCTTAAGTCCTGCACAAGCAATTTCTACTGGACTCCTGACCTGCGCACTCAAGAGCCTCTGTCCTTAGATCCCACAAGTTTCAGAGCCCTGACCCTCCAACCGAAGACGTGGCATGTGCAAGCTGAGGATGCTGCAGAGCTCTGAGGAGACTTAGATGTGGCATTTTTTGTTCAGAGTTTAGGGCCTAGGGGTCTGGGGTCCCGAATATAGTCATGGAGTCCTTCGACATAATTTTTTGGACGAGAACATGAACTTTCTGTTAGTAGTTGGTAGCGCAGAGGGCATCTGGTACATCTAGTTTTGAGCACCTGCGGCTAACTAAGAGGACCGAAGCCCTACAACAGTTCCGATGACCGCTGAAGCTGTGCCCGCAATTCAATCCCCCGTTCCCTCTGAAGCTGAGTATTTGACAGGAGCAGACGAATGAGGACTCCGCCTCCTACTACTATGGGGCCTCTATGACGGATGACACCATGTCCCATCTTGCTGCCTTTGCCAAGCAGGACTACCAAGCTACTTCGGCATTTGCCAAACCTGGGTTCCATCCCATGCTGAAACCCTGCAAAGTGCTATAAAGTATCCCCCACTTCTGGAGGCACATCTTTTTCTAATTGCGTAATGAATAAGACATGACTTCCTGTTCTTTCAGCCGATGATTTGCTGGGGGTGGCAAAATCAGGATCGGTGACTGAAAGTGCAGTATTTTTGTGCGGTGCGCGGTCCTTATTGTCTACAACCAACAAAGCCCCAAGGCCCTGATTGTCCGATTCCCAAACATCCTTCTCTGCAATAAACATCCCTGTTCCACCCCCAAAATGATAGCTTGTCTTTGGGAGGACGAGTTGCATGTCTGTTGTGGCATCTCGTTCCGCAGTCTCTGCAAGGAGTCTCTCTAGTCTTCAGCCTGGCACTACGCTGCACAAGCAACACAAGCCTCACCCCAAACGTAGTTAGGCTGTTGGTGGGTCATTACTTTCTAGAGCTACAAGAGACTTCGAAGGAGCTCGGCAATTTCGGCAAGGCCAGGAAAGTGCAAGCCGCGTCAACGCCGTGATTGTCATTGTTGCTCCATGATCGATATAATCACGACGGATTTGTGTAAGATCTCGCGACGTTGCTATCCATGTTCTCAATCCAACTCTGCATGCACTCATTGCTTCTATGGCTATTGTTCTGTAGTGTTGTCAAAAGCTCTGCTTTCTTGGTCCAGGAGGCCAAGATGTTTTAGGCTTGCGTGTGAGGTTGTCGATAGAGAGGAGGTATGTTAAGATTTGGGATGTAAGCTGGGAGTGTTGCATAAGTCGTTTGATGGCCGGCTTCCCTTTATCAGGAACAGATGATATGGCTCTACATGGAACTTCTGAGAGGCAACCATGTCCATTCCTTTCTGCTTAAGGAAGTTTCCCCAGGCATGCCCTGTAGAATCACAAGGAGGGACCCACGCAATCCTCCATCATCTCCACATGTTTTCTAGAGGTCCCTTGTTATGACAAACTCTCCCTGCGGTCCAATGACAGGACATTGCCAGACTTGTTGCGTGCAATCCCATTGAGGCTCAAAGAGAACTTGGGCATTGACATCCCATGAGGAAGATGCATATCACCTTCAAACCCACGGAGAGTTCAGCAGCTACATAGCCCTAAGCTGCCGTTTTGAAATCCGGGTCGCAGTGGCCGCCGCCGCCACTGCATGCAAGATCAGGTTCATTGAAGACAGGTTCAGAGCCAGCTTACCCTCAGACCCTATAGCCTTTCCATCCGACACCCCCATCCCCTAAATCTTTCCATCCTAGCCGCGAAGCCCTCAGCCTTTCCATCCGACACTCCAACCCAATATACGTTTCCATCCTGCACATATTTGGCTGTATAGGCGGCCTTCGATGCGCGGATTGTTGGCACCTGGGAAGGCACAGTCAACAAGGCGCCATCGGCGAAATCTTGCTGCCCGCAAATTTCAAGATAGTCGGCTTTTTCCTCGGATGTGAAGAGCCATAACGAAAGTCAGAAGTTAAGGGCTCAAAAAGGATGTGTGAGCAGGGATCGAGGCTTTTTGGCACTTACATGGCTTTGAGGGAGATGGGCCTTGGCATGTGAAGTATGTTGGAGCCGCGCAAGTACGGTAAACGCTTGTCCCCCCCCCCCCGATGTTCCTTATGTCATTTCAGATTGTTCTAGAGCCTCCAAGTTTGGATTGCAGGCTCTTGGAGGCTACCGCCAGCGCATTGAGTTCTCCCACGACTGCCTGCATGCGAGCATCACGGTCATGGGCAAGACCCTTGAGGCTGGAAAAGTTTATGGTTGCGGGAGAGGTCTAGTCTACCAAACGTGCAGCTTCGACCTACTGTTAATATGGCTTCTCGTAGGCCTTTTCTTGAAGGTTTCGATGTCGAAGTTGCAAACTCATAACCCCCACAATGTTTGCAATCAGAGGCTGAAGTTGAAGACTCAATGACTCGGTGTTGCCGGTGTTAGTGCAGTCTGCTGAAGAGCTGCGAGCTTCATAAGGTGTGATTTGCATGGTTGCGCCCAAAAGGGGAACAGTCCAAGCTATTGAAAAGAAGGATGCAACTTGTTGGAGATTCCAGCTATCAGGCTTGCTTCCGCATGGACTGCTCCAAGGACGTCTCGCAGCAGTTCTGTGAGGGCGTTTTGTGGGCTTTGGCAGTGCTGGAAAGTGAAGTGGGTTGGGAGGCAAGGGGTAGCAGTCACATGTCTACTGTAAACGGATTGTAGGCACAAACTGCTGGACTACCCAGCTCTGCGATCTGCAAGCCCGAACCTCTGAAAACTAGAGTCCTAGAGCCTCTGGGAGGATCCATGCCACCTCGACATCGAAGTCATTCCGGTTGGCACAAGCTGCCCGCCTCCGGCAATTCCCTACATCTTCAAATTCGAGGTAAGGTAAGGGTTGGGGTCTTCCGGGTCTACGAGGGCAGAGAAAGTCTTGAACCACCTTGTATACCCCTGCACCCAAGACGTTGCAGGCTTAAACAGCCCCAGGTAGTGCAACTCTTGCTTCATCCACAGCAGGGCTGAGGGCGTGTGAACCGCAAAGTGCTCCTGCAACTTCCAGGTTCGAACTCAAGATGCACATCGGACTCTGTCGAAGGAACCATTCTGTCGAATGCCTTGAGCAGGATCCCTAAGCACGCTGTTGTAATCTCACAACACATATTCCTAGGGTCTTCAAGTGCCCTTACTCCGCCTGGTACGTTCCCCAGACAATTTGTGCTGCTTCAATTGAGATGTGTCAGGCCGCGTTTGCGCGAGAATTTAGCCACACAACGCGACAAGGGGAGGTAACTGAAGGAAGCTAAGGTAAGTTCAAGCAACTTGAAACATGCACCAGCACCACAAGTTGAGATCCAGAAACCTCAACTTCAAGACCTGAATTCAAGACCCACATCGGCTGAACGTATGTTTTAAGCCATATAAGCATGAAGCGCTCGAGTCAGTGAATGCCTGACCATGTGGATCCGAAAGTTCGGGATTCAGGAGTCATAGTCCGGTGTTGCCCGGCACAATTAGGGTTTCGGGCTATAGGGTTGAAGGTGTCAAATTGAAGGCCTTACTCAAATCCTGATACACCTGAGCTTGCAATCTGGTGTTCCATACCACGGGATTTCTCCGACGAGACAGCTGCTCGAATAGATATCAGATTGCTTGGCGAGGACAAAGGGCTTCTGGAAAACGAGTCCTCCTTTAGAAGTTCCTGTATGGGGGTGATCTTGTTTAACAGAAGTGCTCTCATGCATCTAGGGTAGGTTGACTTTCGCACAACCACGACGCGTAACTTTGGCGACCCCTCAAAAGCAGTGTACAGTATATAAGCCTCCTGCCCGGCGTCCAGTAGCTCTACTGCATCGCTTAGCAGGCATTCCGGTTTCCAGCTCTTCTGCAGCCTGCAAATATTGTAACACAGTATGTAGAATCCCAAAGGTCTTCAAGGCCTTTCTTTGCTGTACACTGCACTTTCCATTTCTGAATGGCTCCATGTACAACCATAACTCGTGCCTGTATGATGTCCTGCAATAGTTTGCAGAAGTTTTGTGGAGAGTATGTGTGCCAGCGGCTGAGCTTGATTTTCGACACCAGCCGCCGCTTTGCGGATGATATATCGGTTATGTCAATTAAGGAACCCACAGGCCAAGCCTTCACCCCACCGTTTGCGATCCTCCGGGTCCCCGTTTCAGGGCGACCAGCTGTTCCTCTGTGGGCCAGGAAGTAGCAACTTGGTCATTGTTCTGGTGGTGTGTAGGGAAGAGCGGATTTCTTTGGGGGTCCTTGGGATTGGTTGAGGGGCTTATGAGGTTCAAGAGATTCATATGACAACTTTTCTGCTGATTCCTTATGCACGCTGAACCCATAGTTTTTTGCAATCCCACGCGCAAGCCCAAAAAGAATCCTTTTCTTAACGCAAGCTTAATGGTGCGTGGAAGAGTGCAACAAGGAAAAAGAAGAGTGATCAAAACAACGATTGTTCTAGGGATCCACTCCCTAACAAGGCATCAGAAAGAGATCCCGAACAAGGGACCCCCAAGTCTTTGGCAGACTCGAGGCAATCTCCAACGTCCGCACAGCTTCGAGGGCATTGGGCTCTGCGTGATGGAGCGGCCAAGAGTTCAAGATTCTGGCATTACATGTTGCAGCTTGAATACTGACCTTTCCAGAATTGGACTCTTTGACTTTCTGTAAACGTGTACAAACGAATTGTCTAATGATGTAAGCACATGTGAACGAGCCAGAATCAAACGAAGCCTTTTTAGAACATGTAGTTTTGTGGCATTGATGGCTGCGTGAGACATGGAGCCATCGCAGAGAACTTATTGGGATTCTGTATTCTGCATACATCGCTTCAGCCTCTCGAAGAGTTCAGTCGTAGATTCCTGGAAGCAGGGAGAGAGACTCGTACAGAGACACTCGAATTTGACAAGATGTTTGCTCACAATTGTACAGCACTAGCGGGACCCAACCTAATTCGTCTACACTAGGCCAGGTATCACTTCCCTACATTACTACCGAGCCGATGACGGCAAATGGCAAAGTGTCAAAATCCCAACCTCTCGCCACAACCTTATAACCGTCTTCATACCCCTAAACCTTGGAAGGTGTGTTGGGGTTCATGTAGTCCCCACGGGTTGGGGAGTTGCTTAGCCATAGAGGCGGCGTCTGGAACCAGAGGAATGTCTATGATCCAGAAAATCCAGGGCTTAAGTTTAAAGGGCCTGGGTGAACCTGGTTTAAAGGGATCAGGCCGGCAAGGCTAGGAGTTGAGGTTTTGAGGAATTCTATGTTTTTTGCGGCTCACGGGGTGTCATATGGGGTATATCTAGGGATGAGAGGCTGATGTGCGGGCATTCAAGCGGGAGACCACTGGAGGGAATTCAGGTTGGACAAAAGAGTCTGGCGCTTATCGGATTTCGGGTTGAGGGCTTAAGGGTTGGGTTTAGAGCCCGGAGAAGGCGGAGGCGTCAATGTATTATGTGGAAAGCTCCTCATTCCAAGATGCCTGAAAGACCGGCAGGAGCGTGCTGACAGCTGCGGAGTACCCATGGGAAGGCAACCCATGATGTGGGAATCTGGGGATTCAAGGGTCAGGACTTTTAAGTTCAGGGTTTAGTTTGCAGGTTGAGGCAGTACTTTTCTGCCTTTCGTAGAAAGTCTGTGGGTGCATAGACTAGACACTCGTGAAGGCCTGTGCGTTATGGATCTTTATAATCATCCTTCTGACTGTAGCGCTCCAGACCAGAACGCGAACCCGGCAGTTTGATTCAAAACGCAGCAAAGCAGTTCTAGATTCTACAACCTCGCGACCTTACGGCTCCTTAACTGCAAGCAAGAACCCAGACATATTCGTCACAGATATCGCCAGGCGCATTGCCATACCCCAATCCTCAATTCAACAGACTCTAGATGCTAGAACTTGCAGGGATTTCGTCGAGATGAGACCCAAACTCAAAACCACTCACAAAGAACCCTGAACCTAAGACCCCGAACCCGAAACGACACCCTGCAGGTGCGCATTAAGGAGCTTGAGCTCAATTACCGTAATCAGGAAAGCCTATGATTGTAGCTAAATCCAACCTTTTCTACAGCAACCGGGTAATCACTCTCAGTTGTGTGGCCCGCGCCAGGCAGCGCAGCAAGGCCTCCAGCAAGACATCCGAAATTGAGCCTGATCCAGAGTTCAGCCGCAACTGGCTGAAACAACCAGCGAAGGGCTCTTCGGGATATGATATGGGCTTATGATGTAGCGAGGGTCTACGGGCTGTTGTCAGGCAACAAGATTCCAACGGATCCCGCCCTGTAATCAGAAAAGCTGCCCACCTCTTTTGATGACAGATATTCCCAAACATGATGTCATCGTTGTTTAGGGGAGGGGGTAGGTTTGCCCAAAAAGGGGCCCCTTTACCATCTGGATACATGGGCAGTACGTTGAGAGTGTAGGGTTTTTTTGAGGCACTGCATGAGCGTCTTTGTTTAGAGAATCTCTGATAAGCAGGCGGATTTTGTTTTTGGCGTTGGGCTTCAGGCTCGGGCGCACTAAGGGTCCGGAGGTAGTTCAGATTTGCTTCTTGAAGGATGCAAAGACGTGTCTATGTCCAACGATGCTGTGCTAAGAGTCCCGGGCTTCACATCTACGATTTACAGGGTTCAGAGTATGCAGAGGGATGCCCGTTTGTTTTCTCTTCATTGTGGTCATTCCATGACGCCCTGCGCTGCCCGAATGAGATGTTTGAGCATTGTCATCACTAAGAGCTTCTCCATTTTGTCAAATTCTCGAGTTTAGAATTGTCATTGATTCGGGAACGTCGCAGTAGGACCTCTCAAGGCGTAAGCCTATGAACCGTAAGTCGCTGAGTTGGCTTGCGGTGATTTTTGCAAAGCGTATCCTGTCTGGAATCTTCTGCCAATGTAACGATCTGAGCTTCTCAAATTGCGTCCCTCTATAGGCGCAAAAAGTTCAGGAATGGTTGAATGGTCCGGATGCTGAGTATTCAAGTGCGTTAGAATGCTGCTGATGCTTCTAGAAGGCACAGTGCATCACCATCCTTCAGAACCGTCACAGTAACACACACGCACACGCACTCTCTACTGGACATATGAGCCTGCAATCCTGACCCCGGGTACCTAAGGGAAGTCTCCCGGCTTGTTCAAGGTACCCCGTTGTTCCGCCTATCTTGTTTAATTTGTTTGCCAGAATCGGGAGTTTTTGTTGGATTTCTGACGCTTCTTTAAAATCTAGACTTGCTTCCGTACAGAAAAGGAACATCTAAATATTTCCCAGGCTTACGACGTCCGCTGCATCACATTCACCCTCAGCCTTACATAAGCGTAAGTGCGTTCCGTGCTCCACTCCCCGCATTGGTAAGCTGTGGTCTCTCAGCCCGCAGCCGTGAACCCTGCCCGATAAATATTAACTACTAACGGACAATGGTAGGGGAGGAAGATGGGAGACAAGAAGCTGAAACTACCTTTAGAAGCATTATTGTAGGCATTCATTTTCGTATTCCTCAAAAAATTCAATGAGATCACCTGAGGCAATGTCACGGAAGTGACGGATGTTCCTTCGGAGGCATCTGCTAGCACCCTGAAGTCGGGCCCGTTTGGTAACGCCTGTAGTAGAGTATCAAGCTGGCTTAAGAGGAAATTTCTGGCGACCTGATATTTGGACCTTATAGGGCAGCAAATAGTCCCTTCTCTGGCGTATATCCCGTTCCACGGAGTCCATGCTCGTCACAGGACGCAATCTTTTGTAGATGCCGTTCATGCTTGGCCAGAGTTTCAACAGTATCATAGCACTATCACAGACTCAGACGGCACAGTGCTCAGTGCGCGTGCTTCACCATCATAAAACAACTCTACACATGTATACAGCTCAAGCAGCACTCTCAACCTTTAGCTTGAAGCCCGCACTGACCAAGTCGCGTAATCATGCACCCTTCTCCCATCCAATGCCTTCGAATAACAAAGACAGTGCTGGATTCAGCTGGTCCTGTACTGGCGCTCAACATGGTCCACTGCTTTGTAAAGGTAAGTGAGCCATCTTGGTAGGCTCAGCGCATGTTCCCGAAGAGCGTTGTGCAGAAGGAGCCTCTGCATTCAATGGTCATGAGGGCTAAATTTGGAGATTCAGGGCGGGGAGCGTTATTCTTGCAGCCACCAGGTGGATAGTTTAGAGAACCACTGATAATATTTGCAGGACCTTGCCCAGCGTTAGCCGCAAATTCCGTTGCCAAGCCCTGGCGGCAACTCTTTTTCATAAGCGGCATCCGTGTCCCTTTGCATGCTGCGAACCCATCTGCCGGCCCGACAATGAACCAAAATGCACGTCTAAATTGAAAGATGGTGGAGGATCTCAAGCTCCCAAGGTCACATAGTAGACCAAGGACTCCCCAAATCTGAGCAGCTAGGATACCAAAATCCGAACTGCTTTGAGAACTGAGCATCTGGGTGCGAAGCTGGGCTACCATTCAATATGCTACTTCATAGGCGTCCGGCCGGAGGAGCTACAGTGCAAACAGCAGCGAAGCCCGTAACACACGATTCAGGGTTTTGCGCGGCATCACTTGGACAGACTGCTAGCAGAATGATGTTGGACCAGCATTGGTTACTGTACTTTCTGAAGAAGACAACCCGACGCTAAACACAGAATGTCAAGTCGGACCCTGACAGGTCCTCAAATTTTCTGGGGTCCCTGAAGGCTAACCTTGCTTCAGACATGCAAAAGGGTTCCCCGATAAGGTGAGGGCCACTTGGGATCAGGCTGGACAGCCCTGACGTGGCTTAGGACTCTGCTTCAAACCCCAATCCCGCCATTCTCTAAGTTCAAACATCACACAGCATCCTAAAACCAGACTTCACACCCCACATACCAAACACCAACACCCTACAGCCTGAACTGTAAGCATCAAAGCCTCCAGGAGGTGATTGCCCCGAAGCCCAGCAAGTTGGACAAGTTGGGATTCATGGGCTGGATCGAGGACTCTGTTTTGGAAGCCTCGGCAGACTTCACGATATAGTGCTTTGGGGACTTCGGGTTTCAAGGTTGATGCGTCGGGCCTTAAAAAAAGGAATTCAAGGCTCAAAGCCTAGAACGTCAAAATTTGGGTTCATTCGGGCCAGTTTTGGGTGTAAGTAGAGAAGATTTGTAAGTTGCGGAAGAAGATTGCTTGAGGAACTCCACAAAAAGAATCGCTTGCGAGGCCAAGGCTACTGCAGGAGCCTGGACAATTAGGAATATCAATATCATCCACCCATCATCCTCAATCATGTGATGAATGACAATTTACGCTGTCCCTGGCACGCTTCACCACGAAAATCTCAGACCCTGATTCATGAGTGTGTCGAGAACATCTACAGGATCCCTGCAAGAGCCTGCGGAAGATATCGGATCCTTTGCTAAGGGATCTGTAGAATCTGCCTAATTTTCCAGACTTTCCCAAGTATAGATGAACTGAGCCTCGTCAGTTTGAGGCCGCGCTTGATCCATTTGGTCTCCCCAACTCCTACAGTGCTTGGTAGGTCTTGGTCTAGGGGGGGGGGGGTGTACTGATGTGCCAATTTCTTGGATTCGGATGTGCACCTCCAGCCTCAAGCGTTGCTGCCTTCTTGTTGATTGCCAAGATTTAGGGTTTAGGGTTTAGGGTTTAGGGCCCAGAAGAGCCATAAAACCATATGTCCTCCCACAACATGATATGAAAATCCTAGAGGCCCAACGCAGTAGTCTTGTAGGCCTCCTTGGCAGCGCTTTCCTGTGAGTCAGTCGGAGGGTAATTTCATAGAACCTGGAAGAAGGAAACCTATACAGATCCGAAACCCTATAGAAACAGACCCTAAAGCCCCTCAGTAATTGCCAGGAGCAGCCAGCAGTGGCAGTCTCAGCCACATTGGCTTTGGCCACTGCAATGGTAGCCATCCGAGCCTTGGCGTAGAAAGGCGAGGGGTTCAGGGGCTTGCGGTTTTCTACTTCAAGTTGTGGGGCTTACAAGGGTTAGGGTTCCGGGTGAGGGTTAAGGGGCTTACAGGGATTGGCTTCAGGGGTGTAAGTTCGGGGATTACTAAGTTTGGGATTCCGAGGCTGGGGCAGGGTTGTGGTTTAGGGCTTAGGGTTGTAGGGTTCAGGTGCTCAAGGTTTGCGGGTGTGGGGTTTGCAGAGGCGGGGCTCGGGTGCAGGATAGGAAGGAAGCCGGCCCAAAGTTTCACACCAGCTCCGGGAGGTTTGGAGTCTAGTTTTTAAGAAGGCGTAATGGGCTTCATGAAAACCCCCAACAGTAAGTTTGATTCAGGGCTTTCTGTTTGAGCCGTGAAGGTATCTTTCTGCTCCTGTTCCAATACTTGGTTTCTTGATATGTCTTTGCTTCTTGTCAAGTTTGTGGGATGGATAGGATTGACACTGCGGAAACCTGCAGGACTAATCCGCCATGTCTTCATTTAGAGCTAGGAGCATCGATAAGAATCCGGGGTTGAGGGATCAACGGCCCACCGTATGCAATGACAAGGGGCGTGGAATTTACTAGCTGGTTTCAGCGGTGCGACAGTCCCCCCGTGAATCCTGGACCCTGTTATCCAGCATTTGTAAGCTAACGTGTGTCACGACTGCGGAGTGATGCTAGTAGCCCGTACAGGTGCAGCACTTCAGTGAAAATCCATTCCATAGCCATATATTATACATCTTAAAACAAGCTTCAGCACCAAACGTTCATGAGACCAAGGCAAGTCCATCTGAGATTGGGCGTGGGTTCCGGCACGTCTCCGACATGTTTAAAGTGTGCTTCCAATCTGTATTCAGCATGGTTCAGGCTTCAATCCCTTTCCGGGCATTAAATCAGAGCCCTAGATCCTACACTGCAAGGATTGGGTAGTTGCAGGTAGCAAGCAGAAGTGGCGGACATGCGGCTTGATTTTACGCTTGGAGGTTTCTAGGTAGATGTTGGTGCTTACAAGCCATCCGAAATCAACGCAGAAATTCAGACATCAGACCTGGCCATGTAGGCCTGAGGCGTCTAAATGCTTCAGAAGAAATGCTGGGGCTGACGGGTTGCTCTCCCAGTTGTTGGGGATCACATCTGACGTTCAGAGTTTCCCTATCTTTTCTCGAGATTTGGCAGTGGCACCATTAGATGGCGCCAGCGCCTTTAGGGGTCCCAAAAGCCCAAAGTAGGTAGCATGTCTACGCTTTCGGGCCCACAGCAGGTCTGTTTGTAGTCTTGCAGCTTCATGATAATGCCTCATAAGCCGCCATCCAGAAGGCGTTCGAGGTTTCGTTTATGACGACAAGCCGTGGAGCTTGTGATGGAGTTCGTCAGGGCAGGGGAACCAAGCAGACCTCAGACATTGTGTTCGGGACGTGCCCATCTGAACAGACTGACAGCGAAGTTCCGTGCTTTGGCACTGGCCCTCCGGCGGGATGCAGCTGAGAAGCGGCTCCTTAGGTTGCGTGAGAAATTGGCATTTCCAAGTGCAGGGGTATCGCTCGCGTACCCCAAAATAGTATCCTCATCCTTGTTGGAGGAGGGACGCCTGAACTATGGAACCTCCCATATAATCCTATCAGGGCTGAGACAAAAGGAAGATTTCATCAATGTGGGGATCGCGGACGTATCTTTGTCAAACATCTCCTACGCGCCGTTTGTTTTGCTTTGCCCAGTCCCCGAGACACTCTCGTCCGAAGTCGCCGCAGGCTTCTTTTGAACAGGGCTTTGGTGGACACACTCCCTTGAAAATTCCCTTTCCCATTCTCAAACCGGCCAATCTTTCAAAATCTCTGCGCCGACGGACACAAGAATTCCTAGAGCCAAAACATTTTGCGCCGGCGTGATGTCTTCACCTTCACATGCTACCTAACTGCCTGATAAGTGCTTTGTATGGCCATGCATTCCGCGGGGCTCCCTGTCTGAAGCTTGTGCTCCATCACCAAGTCAGCGGCACCCCCCGCCCCGCTCACAGCCCAAGAAGTCTGACTCCTGTGTTCAAGAGTCAAAAAATCAGCTACCGTGAACCCTCATCGAAACTGTAACCCGAAACTCTGAATCAAGAAACCTTGACTAGCCCTGAAACCTGAAACCCTAACATGAAGCCTGCAGTTCGACTATGTTTGGTCGGCATTAATTAAGTTCAACCAAATCTCAAGCCGCTGCTGCGTCACGTCCTGGAGGCGGCCATGTTCTGCAGTCGGGTATGGCGTATGCACTTCGGTTCCTAGCTGGAATAAGACTATCCGAAACCCTGCAGCCCGCGTTCAGCCTGCATCTGCGAGTACAACGTTGTCCTACCTGCCTGCATCCACAAGTACAACTTGGTCCTACTTGCCGTAAGAAGGACTTAGAGGTTTGTGAAGTTCAGGGAAAGCGCATCCAGAAGTTATTACTCCAGATTGTCCTTTCAACTTTGTAAGGAGGTTACACCTCAAACCCTAGACAGTTTCGCCAGCAATTGGGAGCGGAAGCGGCGTCGGTCCCGGTAAGTTCTCGAGCCCCCCACGGCTCGTGCGTTACGCATGTTTCCCGGGGACCAAGAAGGTACGCAGACATGACGCTGAAACCACAAGCTACTGCCCTGTGAAGTTAGTGACCAGAGTAGATTGGGACGTGGGTTCTCAACTTTCTGGCCAGTTTAAAATAAAAATGACCAATTAGGCTGGGAGTACGATGGGGCATTAACTTTACCACTACAGTCAACAACCGCATTTTCGAGAAGTTAAGGTAACGTAGAGAACCTCCCCTCAAGCGGTAATCATTTGTGAACTCTGGGGCTTAGGGCTGCGGAGCTTAATCGACGGAGATTCTTTTTGCCGGTGGATGCGTGCCTGGATCGTTAACACCACCCTACTAAGATGGCTTTACCTTGCCTATCACCGCCCAGAAAAGTTGACGGCGAGCAGGTGTGCCTTTTTTGGGCCCCTCGTTTCAGGGGTTTTTGGGGGCCATGCTGAAGTTTGCCGGCAGTTTGGGGCGAAGCGCTAGATGCAAAACTCAGACGCTGAAGGACGCCATGACCTTTATGTCCCTCTGTACAGGTGTATGTGCTCATAGATCTATATATCGTTCCATCCCAATACCTCCCTATTCATCGGTACACATCCAGACATATCCCATACGAAGTAAGAGCCATTCGACTGCAACTTTTCTCCTGGCTTAAGCAGTGGTTGCCTGTCAAGAAGCCCGGAACTCGATAAGCGAAGCCCCCAAAAAGATACAGGCCCTTCCCTTGGCAGCTCTCGAAACATATTTGAGTAAACCCGCTCCCGAAACCCTTAGACCCTGAAGGCGTTTCACATTCCAAGCCAGCTGGCAGCCAGCTGCCCACTAGGATCACCTTTGTTGACCTGAATCTTGCCAGGTCCCGATTAGGTTCCGCACTTCTCGCTTGCAAGGCGTGATGTCGCCTCGTTTGGTCTTTAAACATCCCCCAGCAAGACATGATGCCCCAAAGAGGCTCGCAGCTTGTTCAAAGCTCAACGAATGGCCAGCAGAATGGTTGAGCGGAGCAATATGCAAAAAACCCTCAAAAGCATTGCCTTTCTAACCTTTGGACATTCTTATTTGCAAGCTAATGAGGCTGGGCTTTTTGGGTGGATTGTGGGCTTGGGATTTTGGTTCACAACCGGATCATGATTGGCCTGAACTGGGAGCTCACGATTCGACAGATGGCTGTTCCAGGCTTGAATTAAGCAGCGTTGTTGAACCATGGTTCATCAAGCATGGCATATTTGATCGTGTGATACACAAGGTTTCCAAGAGATGTAACTCTTCTTCTTTCAACTTGGAAGAAAGTCCCAGTCTGAAATGTGTCGACTTTCTGCAAGCTGGCCTCCTCTCATTTTGCTCCGTATCGGGAACTTTCCTAGGAAAATCAGAGGTGACTCGCCTAAAAGCACGAGGGGTGTAGCGTTTCGCGGCTTGCCTGCCAATCATGAGGAACTGACGCTGTAGGCATGGTCCTTTGCAGCCTATGCGCCCTTGACATGTCCCCGCTACAGGATGGTGCTACACGTATGCCAAAGTAAGGACTTTTCTGCGGG